GTTTCTTTCCTTTGGGCACTCTCTTTTGAAATGCCCGGTCTCCCTACAGCCGTAGCAGGCTCGGCTTGCCCCGACATTGGTGGCCAGGGTGATTTGTTGGGCTGGCGCTTACAGAAACGGGCTGTATGCCCCTTCTTGTTGTTGCAGTGCATTTCCCAACAGGCGCCAGTGTGGTGAAAGTTGCACTTGTTGCATTTGGGTAGATTCCCAACATATTGTCTTAGTAGGGTTGCAGGGGTAATGGCAGCATGGACGGCAACCATTTGTTGTTTCTTGGCAGGGTCCTGTGCCGGTTGGTTCTTCTTTTTGATCCAGAAATTTCTTTTATTGTTGTCCCCTTTCGTTTGCTCAGGGACGGGGGCCATTATGCCTTGGCGGACTCTATGATCGATGAGTCTCTGGGCCAAGCGTTTGGCACTGTCAAACGTAATCGGGTTTGAAGCTATCACGTTCCCTTGAATCTGGGGAGATAGTCCCCATATATATCTTTCCACCTTTTTAACTTCCGGGGTGACCATCCCGGGACATAGTACTGCTAAATCACTGAATCTGGCAGTGTAGGCTGCGAGGTCAGAGCCTGTCATTTTAAGGTTCCACAGCTCCTGTTCTATCTTTTGCACTTCGCCCCTTGGGCAATACTCTTCCAACATTAAGATCTTCAGGTCCTCCCAGCTCATCGAGTTTGCCACTGGGAGGGTCAATGATTTGACATGGCCGTTCCACCAGGTAAGGGCCCTGTCAGAGAAGGCGCAACCTGCAAATTTGACTTTGTTTGCTTCTAGGCATGCACATATTGCAAAGACTGATTCAGTCTTTTCGAACCATTGCATTAGAGTGATGACGCCTCCGCTTCCATTGAAGGATTTGGGTTTTCCACTAGTGAAGTCTTTGTAGGAACATTCACTTGAGCGTCCCTGGCTTTCTCCCTGGGTAGAAGTATTAGTACCGTTTCCCGCCCCATTGGTACCATTGGTGCTGATATGTGACATGGCGGCTGCCACTGCGGCTGTTACGACAGCCTGGAAAACGACAGGGTCGAATTGTGGAGGTGGCGGCGGTGGTGGAGTTGGAGTTGTCGGTGTGTTATTGACACGCCTGTTAGATCTACGTGGTAGCATCTTTCTGCCATAACGTTTAAAAGTGAAAAGACGGTAAGTCTTCGATAGTGTTTAGAAGTCGGGTGTCATTAAACTAGACTATATTAGTTTCTACACGCATCATGTTCCAACTTGTAAAGTATTTTGTGAAAAATTCATAATAGAAGTCTATGTAAAAATAAACTTATGAATTCTAATAGTAATGCCCCAATGAAATTTTGTGTACAAGTTGAATAAGTGGTTCTACCCTAAGCCCACAACCAAACAAGGAACATGACTTAAAGCGGACTCACCAATCCTAAGTCTATAGGATCTTAATTATATATGACTCTGGCGTATACACTAAACAATCATAGATTTACCATGAGTATCCAATTTATAAAAACAAGGTTATGAAATTATTGGTAACAATCTCAATGAAATAAAATGCATGCCAATTTTATTGATATAATTTAGCACATAGTGTTTGGAAAATTTGACCTTGATGTAGGTCAACATTGATGGGTTTTGAGCATCCTAACAACCTTAAGGTGCACATACAACCTTAAATGATTTGGATCTATGTTTTCTTTAATTATACATGTAATTTGATTTTCCAAAGCATTATCCTAACTAGCATACAAAACATGGGTACTTGTATTACAAAACTAGTTAGATAACATACCTTTTCTTGTAGCTTGATTCCTTGGACCTTTAAGAGTCTAGCACCCCAAATGTGATGCCTCAAATGCTTCACACAACACCACCAACAATGGAGGACTTGAGAGAGAATATCTTGCACATAAAAATCGGCTATGCTCTTCCAAATATCACTTAGGTGCCGATTTTAGTAGCTTAGGGTCTTCTTATATAGTGTGGCAAAACTAGGGTTACACCATGTAAACCCTAATGTGCATGACCTTCCATATTCCTTAGGATCCATGGGTTTAAACCTCCATGGAGCATCCATGGGTTGTCACATTGGTTTAGCCCAACCTAAAGAATTATGGATCATTGGCCCACATTATAAGAATCAATGATTTACACAATCAATCCCCATATATTTAATTAGTCTCTTTTGATCACTAAATTAATTCCAAATCAATTCTTGATCAATACTAATTGAATAATATGATTTCATATTAATATATTAGAACTTATAATATATTAATAAATCATAAATAACCTCTTCTCAAATGTCCATCCTTCATATTGTTCTGGTGCCATGTAACCCAAATGGACCATGCTACCCTCGGGTCAAGTACATACCAAATATTGTGACATCCCCAAATTTCACGGCCAGAAAAGACTGATTTGTTTATGCTTTATTTGAAAATTAGAGTATATTTTTAAATAAATATATTGCGGAATTTGTTCCCAGAAAAACATGATAAATATATTATCAAAGCATTTCCGAAGAAATGTATTTTTGTTCATATTAAAACTTTGGGATGTCATCGTCAATACTGAAACATAAGCATAAACAGACCTTACATTTATTTACACTAGTGATCTACATCTCCTTTAAATCTCTCAGTGTTAAGTAGATTCGTATCGACACCTGTGATACAAATAAACTTGAGTGGGTCAGGTTGGGAAACCTAGTAAGTACATAGGGTTTTCAACCCACAATAATATAATTATTATATTTAATCATAAAACAATCAACCCAATTACCCATCCCTATTATCTTCTTTAATCTTAAGGATCTACCCTAAGAATCATCTATTCTTCATTCCTAAGGATTATCCTAAGGAATAGGCACGAAGTCCATCGCTGCCCGAGGTTTATACTACAAGCACTAACGAACGTCGATCCCCACATACTGATCCTATACAATGATCTTACAAGATCTAGCCTAAAGGATCGATATGAACAAATAACTGACGAAGCTGCTTCGGAAATTCCCTAGCAGCAAACGAGGATCGATAAAGACATCAAATGAGGGGAATGGAATAAGTTTCACCACGAACCTTCGTTCGTAAAAGAAAGAACCACAAGACAATTAAGTCAGGGGTAGTTATCTAGATAACAATGCCTAGCCGTGGTCCGAATATCGTGAGGTATTTTACCCCCAGACTTACCCTATCCAACATCGAACTTTGCCTATCAGTGGTCTGAATATCGTGAGGTATTTTACCCCCAGACTCACCCTATCCAGCATCGAACTTTGCCTAGCAGTGGTCTGAATATCGTGAGGTATTTTACGCCCAGACTCACCCTATCCAGCATCGAACTTTGCCTAGTAGTGGTCTGAATATCGTGAGGTATTTTACCCCCAGACTCACCCTATCCAGCATCGAACTTTGCCTAGGAGTGGTCTGACATCGTGAACGGAAACGCTGACACATGAAGCTCGTCCGATCACTTCATAAAAGAAACGAATACTCCAAAGCTCTTCAAAATAAAAAGTATAGGGAAAATACTAATAAATTACTCTCGTACGCTCCCGTACCCCGACACACAATAGTGTCAAAAAGAACTTTGTACATGATACTTATCGGATGAACACATAGTTCAAAAATACCTAATCCATACGCCCGGATTAATAACAAATAACTATGTCTATACTCTGCTAGATGACTAGATCATCTTAAACATCGATACCTCTCATCAATTTTTATTTCATCACACATCATCTAATTCATCTACCCATGTTTTACCCAACATATTTGTAGATATAAAATACATATACAGTTTAAATCAATTAAAACATGTATAAAATTGTTCATCCATCATAGATAGCAAGTATACAGATAATATGCACACATAGCACGTAATTTATATAAGATATTTTATATTTATGTGTAAGATGAAAATAGTATGCACTCACTTGATAAGACGACGATTGGACAGCGCTTCGTCCCTTAAAACAATATTCTTTGATGAAACTGGGATGTTTCTTCAAAAACCGGGCTTCACGCGGGCAGAACTTCGGCTAGAAAAACTCTTTTTCTCGGAAACTTCGGGGCGTCGGGACTTGCTTCGGGTGTTAGGGACGATACCGGGACTTCGGGGGTTAAAAGTAGGCTAAAAGAGTGTTTAAAGTGAAAGAGAAATGAGAATTGGTAACATAAACCCGGAGGGCTCGATTTCTATTTATAGGCTGAAAAATCGACTCTCACGTCGTGAACCAGGTATGTTCACGTCGTGACTTTGATCCTGGTCATCCCCTAGGCTTGCCGTGTGTCTTGTAGGCTCGAAACGCGTCGTTCACTGAGTTCACGTCGTGAACACTGTGTTCAATGTTATAAGTTTCATAAAAAATTATATAACACAAATAAAGTTATTTATGGTCAAAGTTGACATGGAAAGACTTCAAAAGTCAAACGTAGACAATAATTTTGGGACGGAGGGAGTAACTCATAATAACAATGTACTTAGATTTTCTTTACACACGATAATAGCTTCCATTACAATTTTTTACTCAAAATAGCAGCATACTTATATTTTTTTTACCGAGAATAGCAATAAGTAATCAATAAAATACAATGCCCAAAACAATAGCAAAACATAAATATGTTGCCTTTATAGGTAAAAGATAATGTATGTTGCAATTATAGGTAACATACATTTGCAGCAAGATCAAACTAAATTGGCATTCTCCACAATTTGCTCTCTAACTAAGAGGTTGTTTCTTTTTTACTTGATGTGCTTAATGGATTAAGCAGTTAATCTGAAAGGGACCTAATGACTTTATGAGACTTAATACATGGTTATTTCATTTTCACTTACTCTGGACCTAATGACTTTATGAGACTTAATATATTAAGACACCAACCCTTTATCTATTTGTTTTTACTCCCTTTTCCTTCCAAACTCCTCACTTTATAATTGATAAATATATTCGGTTGGAATAGAGGTAAAATGGTCATTTAGCGACAAGCAAACATTTTAAATATCACATTAAATCAAAATATGGTGCAACAAGCAAACATTTAGCAACTTGAACTTTGTTCTTCGGTAGCATAGCACAAACATCTGTAGACAACAAACTTTCAAGAAACCGACATATACTTTGTTTAATTTAAACAAGAAAAAAAAATAGAAAGAAATATTATCACACAAACAAAGCACTCAGATCACCTCACACAAAAGAAAGCTACATACAGTTGGCAAATGAGATCACAAGTATTTTATGATCATATAAAGAGCCACAACCAAGACAGCAATTCCAATCACTGACAACAGTAGGCACAAGCATGAGCAACCACCCTTTGTTCGTTTATTTAGAATCGCCAAATTCTTCTGCACTCTCTGTTTTTTCCCAAATATAAATTTTAAAAAGATTTTCAAAAATTGAAAGCTTTTTATACAGGTTTTTACATAAAAGAGTTTACCTTGAGTCGAGAATCTGTAACTTCTACATGTTCATCCAGATCATCCTGTGTAGCATAAATAGATCACTTTCAGAGGCTCAATAGAAAACATATTGGAAAAAAGGTCAGCTTTGCTCCATTGCATTTCCTCTTTCAATAACTGAATGCCAAACACTAAGTAAAAAAGGAAAGAAAAAGAAAGAAGGGCATACAATGAGTCTAGTGTGCAGGCTAAGTTCTTCATTGACTGCTAAAGCAATATGTTTGGTGCTTATCACTGTCTCCTCAAGTTTCTCTAAACCTTCATCTTGTTCTGCATAAACAAATTCCAATTGATTACCATAGAAACTCAAGAACCCATGTCTTAATTGTTTGAAGTGGAAATAAATTTCCTAAATTATAAAGGGTTGTAAATAATAATTAGAATTTAGAACACAATATCTTGCCTCTCATGATTTGTCTTTGAAGCCCAACAACACCAGAGTTATCCAAACCAGCAATTCTGCTCATGGCATCAGCTGGCTTAATATCTGGCCCAAGCAAGCTGTCCCTATTAGCAAAGTTTGACATGTTCAATGTGGTGGCCATCTGTGTTACCTTTGTTCTCAAATTTCCAAGCATATCTCTGCGTCTGTTCATTTCTTTCTCTGTCCTGCAATCCAATAAATCAAAACAAATTCATTCATTACAGCTTCAATAAAGCAAGAATGATTGAACAAAACTTAATAACTGGCTTAATAAGTTCTACTTACAAGGGTTGTTTAGCAGGAAGCTTTGTGAGAAGAGAGTGTAAGCTATCAAGTCTGGTTCCAAGTATGGTGATTTTTCTCCGAATAGCAGATGAATGGCGCTGTGCTTCAGGGCCTGACCCAAAGGAATTCCTCTCTGATATCATGCTGGTGATATCATCAGCAAGCTTAGAGGCTTCATTATATTCCCTCGTCCACGGATCCGATGAAGAAGCCATTTGTCTGAAACACAAGGAACAAAAACCACAAACACGTCAATCACCGGTGACAATCATACGATCCACTTTATAAACTGTACAGTTGTGTAAAACTAGAGTATCACGAATTAGGGCAGCAAAATTCCCAAACATGGTTTAAAGTCGCAATGAAAACGTCAAGCGCTGTGAAATTAAACCATCTATGTCATTCATATGGAAGATAACTTTGTAGATTTGACGAAATTAACATGATCGCTATAGAATTTCGAAATTCTCAAAAATTAGGGCATCGATGAAAACAATCGATTCTTGGAAATTATGCATATCCGTTTCCATGAATGAATAAGTTATCAAGGTCGATGAATCCTACGAGTTGAATCGTGATAGATTAATGCATAGCCGTTGAAACTCAAAAGAAACGGCGAAATCATACGAAACCTAGCAAGATTTACCTCAATGGATTAGTGATTCGGATTGTGTGATCGAAAATTGGAGCTGTAAATCGATTAAACTGATTTAAAAGAGGAATCTAGAGATGATGATTATTGTATCAGACACACGGCGCCACCATTAACCGGCGAGCTTGTCTTGCGCTATCGTCGCGTCGTCTACATTTAACTTTAAATATAATTTTAAATGACGAGATATACAACTCTATGACTCGGTAGATAAAGCTTCATTCTTCAACCCTTGCAACGATGTCGTATTCACCGGCCTAGCGTAGCAAGACTTCCACGTTGTCAACCAATTGCTTTCGTTAATTATTTCCTTCCATTATTGATTGCAATTTATTCAAGTCGACACAATAAGTAGGTTAAATTGCCAAAATTAGTCCTTTTGATTTGCAAAAAGTTATAAACGATAACATGAGGTCCAAAAAAAAACTTTAATTTGAATCATTGGTCCGATACATAATTTTTTCTTTTTCGGATTTGGTCCCTATACTTAACTGTTAGTTGATTATTTATTCTGTTAAATCCATGCAAAAATTATTTTTTCCCTCTATTTTGTTTTCTGTTTGTTACTACTCAATTTACCCAAATAACTTTCAAAAATTTTAACTCGTACCACCGTCGACTGTTATTCATTACATGTCGGCTTCATTCTTCCATCACTAAAAACCTCAAATAACACTAAAAAATACCTTAAAAATATATTGTAACATCGGAGTTCAGGTATGATTCTTTCGGGTTTAATTTCTTTAAATCTAAGTTTTTTGGAGTTTGGCTTGGCCATGATGTGGTGATGGAATGACCACGACGTGGCAACTCGGTTCAGAAAACGTGCATCTGCGAATCACGACGTGGCAAGGCATTGGCCACGATCTGGTGGCATTTAGGGTTCAAAGCCCTAGATTATGGGATTGAGCCCTATTTAAAGGCACTAACTCCTAGGGCTGTCTCATTTGGCAGTCTCTATCCTCTGAAATCGATCCCCACTTAAACCCTAGCCTCTTTGTGTGTGTTTTGAGTGTGTGAAACCATCTTTGTGAAGATTGAATGAAGAAGCAATCCATCTTGTGGTTTGTGAGCTTGGTTCTAGCTTAGATCCAGCATCTTCATCATATTTCTGACCATATGGAAGTATAAAGTCTCAACCTTGCTCGTTACTTCTCTAGATCTTGTTGTAGGTCATTTTATGAGCTTTTTGGTCCCAATCTTCTTGTCCTTGGATTTTGAGTGAACTTCGAAGCTTTTCAGCGCATCCACTACAAGAAAAAACTTATATTACTAGGGAATGTTGCTATGGAATGTATTTTCGGTGTTATCATGTAATGTATCGTGCTATAGAATGGCGTTCCATAGCTAATTTACTACCACATTTTCTACGAAATTAATTTTCGGTAGCGAACATAGGAATTGCTACGGAAACTGTTACAGACTCGAAATCTGTTGGTATATTGCTACCGATATATCTATGGAAAAACATTCATTGCAAAGTTGCAATGAACTTTTTTATGAAAATATTGTCCGTTGTAATTCTGCTATGGAATTAAATATAATGGTTAATTTGCAATGGAATTTTTCAACCGAATAAAATTCCATAGTTGCTTTATTATGGAAGTAGAATTGATAGTTATTTACCTACGGAATTGTGCTACGGAATTTTATTTTCGTTGCTTGTTTGCTATGGAAAAAAAGCCTAGCTACGTTGTAAGGAATTATTTTTTTGTGAAGTATTTTTCATTATAATGTCATATTGTAACATCCATAAAAATCACAACAAATTTAAACTTTTTCAACTACCCCAAATCATAGAATGTTTACAAAATCATTGTTTTCAAAGTATTGTTCCATATCAGAGTCTCCCATAAATCAAAAGTACATAAAACAGAGGATGTGTATGGTCACGCCTTTGCCTTCCCGCGATCATTTAAAGTACTTGAAACAATAACTAAAAACCATAAGCCAAAGCTTAGTGATTTCCTCCAAAGTACCAACACGTAAACAGATAACATATACAACAACATGTCGGGTCCAATCAACCATCGGGTTGGAATACCCCAGGCCCAGTCACCCTCCGGGTCCAGTCATCCTCGGGATGGAATACCCTAGTTGGAATGTCAATATATAATGGGTCCAGTCAACCATCAGGTTGGAATACCCCAGGCCCAGTCAACTATCGGGTTGGAATGCCAATATACATCGGGTCCAGTCATCCTCGTGATGGAATACCCTCGGGCCCAATCAACCATCGGGTTGGAATGCCCCCGGTTTGTTGTCCCACGCACATAACAATAAAGCCTCAACCTCCAACCAAAATATGTGCACATATAACAAATAAACATATAATCAGTCAACAAACAATCAGGCAGATCTACAAATCAATAAGCATAGCATCATCCTATATGCCACGATACATATCTAACAAATCACTAAAACACGGTAACATACTATCACATAACAGGATATCTAACCCGACGGGCCGGCCATGGTGCCTTCGACCTGTAAGTACAGTGAGGAAAAACTCACCTCACAGTCTGGACAAAAGCTGATAAGGTCTCGACTCCGAATCTCAGCTCTAACCGTCGCATATCCAACCAAATGACCAATCCTCAATCACAATCCCAAAATACCCAAATTACCCTTAGGTCAAACTTGGTCAAAGTCAACTAAGTCGGCCGATTCGACACAGTAAGCGTACGCGGGGCGTACTCCAAATGTATGTGGGGCGTAATCGAGCGTTGACCACCATCAGGGGTGGTTGACCTCGTATGTGATGCGTACTCCTAGATTTCCCAAACTCTCATTAAGAGCTTAATGGCTTAAGCTCTCACGACCATCTTTCAGATCCAATGCTCAAATACCCTCAAGAGTCATAAAGTTTCCAACTTTGTGACTTTGCATGTCCATTAAGTGCTTAACTCAACTTCTTAATCCATTAATACCTTCTAAAGAATATATGAACAAAACCAAGCATTAGACCCCATTTTTATGACTTAAGATCCTTCCTAAGGTCTGAAAGGATAGCTTAATGGGTCAAGAACATGCTATGTTCATGAATCTCCACATTTGGGACAAAAAGGATCAAAAATCAACCCAACACAAGAACTAAATGAAACTTCACCAAGTTTAGGACTTTATACCTCCAAATGATGCCAAAAGGTGGTGTGATTTTGGATCTAAAGAGCTTCACACATCCAAGATGGTCTCTATTTCCTTCCTTCTTCTTTAAAAGCACAAAACACACACACAATCAAGCTTAGAATGCTTCACAAGGTGGATTAGGGTTGCAAAAACGTTTTAAGAGGATGGAGGCTGAAGAAGTGAGGGGAAATGAGGCTATAATGGGGTTTAAATATGAGCCAAACTCTAAAAATTAGGGTTTGCATGTTTGACACGTATGCCCTACGTACAAATGTACGCCTAGCGTACTAGGGCGCTCAGCATACACACATACGCATGGCGTACTCCCCCAAAACCTAAATTACAAAATTGCCCCTAGGGCCCTTATTGCACTCTTTCTTTTACTTAGGGTCCAAATTGCAATATAATTAAATTATAGGGTTAAAATTAGAGGTACCTCATCATCGGGATGTTACAATTCTCCCCCACTTGACTTAGACTTTGTCCTTGAAGTCTGTTGTAACAAATAACTCGAGGTAATGCTCCCTCATTTCAGCCTCCGGCTCCTAGGTCCACTCGGAGCCTCTCTGATGCTGTCACTGAACCTTTACCAAAGGTATCTCCTTGTTGCGTAGGACCTTCATCTTTCTTTCGAAAATAGTTATTGGCCTCTCGATATAATTCAGGCGCTCATAGACCTGAATATCATCCAATGGAACCACTGTCTCGATGTCCAACACACACTTCCGCAACTGAGAGACACGGAAAGTGTTGTGGATCTGACTGAGCTCACTCAGAATATCCAACAGATAGGCCACCCTGTCTACCCTAGCGATCACGCGAAGGTCGAATATACCGGGACCCAATTTCCCCCTCTTCCTGAAGCGTATCACACCTTTCCAAGGTGAGACCTTCAGTAATACCATATCGCCGACCTACAACTCCAACTCAAATCGACGTCGATCAGCATAACTCTTCTGCCGACTCTGAGCAGTCTACAGCCTCTGCCTGATCTGTCGAATAAGCTCTGTGTTATGAAGGACTACTTCGATCCTTCCCATGAACCTATGACCAACCTCTCCCCAACATACCGGGGTACGACATCTCCGACCATACAAGAGCTCAAAAGGTGGGGCACCATTGCTGGAGTGATAACTATTATTGTAGGAGAACTCCTCAAGAGGTAGGTAGGAGTCCCAACTCCCACCAAAATCAATGGTGCATGCTCGCAACATATCCTCAAGGGTCTGTATGGTCCATTCCTCTGATCGTCGATCTGCGGATGATAAGCGGTGCTAAAATGTAACCTCGTGCCCAGTTCCTCGTGGAACTTCTGCCAGAATTGAGACGTGAACCGAACATCTCGGTCAGAAACAATGGAAATCGGAACCCCATGACGAGCAACGATCTCCCGGACATAAACATCGGCCAACTTTTCGGCCGAAGAGTTCTCACGGATGGCCAAAAAGTGGGCACTCTTGGTCATCCACGATGACCCATATAGCATCAAAACCCTTGGCGTACTCCAGTCAGACCTAAACCCTAATTTAGGGTGTTGGAACCTATTTAAGCTCCTTAACTCACCACCAAACCCTATTATCTTCAGCCTTCATCCCTCTAAACCCTAGAAATGAAACCCTAGCCCCCATTTGAGTGGTTTTTGAGCTTTTAGTGGTATTTCATGTTTTTTGGTGTTCATAGAAGAAAAGTGTAACATCCCAAAAATACAGGCCACAAATTTCGTTTTTAATTAAGTTATTACATGAAACCATCAGTATAAAAATTTTCATAATAATATCTCATATCAAAACCAGAGTGTCAATAATCAAAATATGGAATCATAAAACCATATCATAGTGTAATCCCAAGGATCTCGTGTGCGGAAAACATGGTGTGATGCGCTGCGATCAAGCCAGCTCCTTCCCTTTGAAAACGAGGTACCTGAAACCAAAACTAAAACCGTAAGCACACAGCTTAGTGAGTTCCCCCATCATACCACATACCCAACAACATACGTACTGCCAGGCAATTCTGGGGTGCCCGACCTACCCATGTCAAGCCATTCTGGGGTGCTGACCTACCCATGTCAAGCCATTCTGGGGTGCTGACCTACCCATGTCAGGCCATTCTGGAGTGCTGACCTACCCATGTCAGGCCGTTCTGGGGTGCCGACTACCCTCCGGTCTATCTCAACCGCCAACGGGGACTATTTCACCCCTACCTCTATCATACAATAACAAAACATAATCATACAGTCAGGCATATCTGGGGTACTGACCTACCCTTCGGTCCTAACGACCGAGTCAGGGAAAACCTATTCCCTGTTACTACCACTAACACAGATAGCATATCACATAAGCGTATCTCATAAGCATATCACATAAGCATATCTCATAAGCATATCACATAAGCATACCAAGATAATTATCACAAAGACAATTATCTACCAGTTACTCCTGTTGGTGGGCCGGCATTGTGGCCTTAGACCCACTTAGGGGTGGCAATTGATGACACGACACGACAAAAATACACGACACG